TCCCCTCCCCTCTTCTCTTAAAGAGAGAGAATTTTTTAATATTTATTTTTTTTAGTTACTGGCAGATACAACATCTTTGTTTGTATGTGGTGCTGAGGATCGAACCCAGGCCGTACGCATGCCAGGCGAGCGCGCTACCGCTTGAGCCACATCCCCAGCCCGAGAGAGAATTTTTAAATATTTAATTTTTAGTTTTCAGTGGACACAACATCTTTATTTTATTTTTATGTGGTGCTGAGTCTACTGCACAAGTTGCTAGCAGCCCACTCACATTCCATAGAACCCAGTGCCCCGCGCATGCTAGGCAAGCGCGTTACCGCTTGAGCTACATCCCCAGCCCTGGACTTAATTTTGATCCAGTTTTCTGAATATATGCTATTTGTGACCAAAGATTTATAAACTTGGCACCAAACCAACTGGCTCCGTGTGGGCCACACTGATTACTGAGTTTCCATGCAAAATGGCAGGCTTGCTTTTTTTAAGGTTTGGGGTAGGAGGGTTTGGTTTGGAGAAGTTGCCATGTTTCTTTATGTATCTCTTGTTCTTCCCATGAGTATCTGGCAATGGTGGCCCTAGGGAGTCTCTTGATTATTTTGCCTTTTTTGGGGGGGTGGGTGGGGGATGAATATCCATGAAAGATATTCAGTTTTGTATTTTATTTAGACATAGGGTTTCAATGAGTTGTTAGCACCTCGTTTTGGCTGAGACTAGCTTTAAACTCTCAACCTTCCTGCCTCAGCCTCCTGAGCTGCTGAGATTATAGGTGTGCGCCACTGCACCTGGCAGGTACTCAGTTTTTAGTGACCTCAAACATTCACCAGGGCCTTGTGCATGCACTAGGCAAGCACTCTACACCCCAGCCCAATTATTTTGCTTGTAAGAAGGAAGATGAAGCCTAAGATTACTCCTGTTGATGGAGCAGTAGCCTAGTACTTGTTGCAGAGCCAGGGAAGAGGGGTGGGATTTCCTCATGTTCTTTGTTTAAATTGTTTGTCTTTCAGAAGGCATAGTTGCCAAATTAATTTAAAAGAAATATTGGATTTTTTTTTTTTTTAACCTTTGTTTTTCCATTTCTCTGGCAGTTTCCTGGAGATAGCGTGGTCACTGGCCGGGGCCGAATCAATGGAAGATTGGTTTATATCTTCAGTCAGGTATTTTATAATCTTAACAGGCTGAGCTTTCCTGGGGGCAGAGCCAGAAACAAAATATATGAAACAAAGCAATCTTGGAGAATGAGATCTTGCTCACAGTTTGGGGGTTTATTTGGGGGTTTTTCATTTCACATGTCTGTGTTCTAAGGAGGAGTCCTGTATTTGCTTGGAGGAGGGGAGATCATAGGGCAGTAGGCTTGTATGAAATTGTTCCACGAACCAGGAGTTTATTCCCCAAGAGAAATTCCTCTTGACAGCGTTGGGTATGTGCTTAGAGGGCATCTGTGTCCTGGACAATGTGTATAGATCCAAGAGTGGATCTGGGCAAAGGGGACTTGACTCTCAACCAGGGGACTCTTGAGATTTGGGCTGTCATTGAAGTGCTTAAAGGATTTTGTCGGACTGCATAAGGACAGATATAGTTTGGTCACATTGAGACTGTAGGAGAATGTCATAGGTGGGATAATGCCCTTGCCCAAGTTGTCCAATCTCAGGGACCTGTGAATGTGTTACCTTACATGACAAACAAGAAATAAGATTGCTAATCAGCTGACCTTACAATTGGCCTCAGTTATCCAGGTGGGCCCAATATAATCCCAAGAGTACTTGTAAATGGAAGAGTGAGGTCAGGGAAGAGGTCAGAGTGATGTGATGTGAGGTTGTGTCCTGCTGACGCTGGCTTTGAAGGTAAAGGGGAAGGAGTCCATGAGTGAAGGAATGGGGACTGTCTCTGTAAGCTAGAGAAGGTAAGAAAACAGATTTCCCTCTGGAGCCTCCCAAGGACTTGATCTTAGCCCAGTAAGGCCCATAGTGAGGCTCATGTAGGACTTCTAAGCTACAGAACTGTGAGATAATAAACTTGTGTTGCTTTGAGCTTAATTTTGTACAGCAGTAGAAGAAACTAACAGAATACCTAGTGGACTATTTTGAATTCAATTTTTTTTCCCTCCACAGATAAAAATGTGTATATAGTTCTAAGTGTTTAGTTTCTTTCATAGACTTAGTTATGTAGCTTATCTAGGAAACTAAAATGTTTTCTGGGCTTGATATTAAACTAGGTATGTTTGGATAATTTTAAATTTATTGTATTTAATGGTACTTATTGAATTACTTTTTTTTTTTTTTTTTTGCAATGTGTATAAGCTGAGCAAAAACTCATATGGAAGGAACCATTGAAAAGATAAGCTAGAACAAAGGAAGTTCTTGTGTTTTCTGGACATAGTGTTCTACCTACCTTCTTGAGTAGATACAAAAATTCATCAAAATGATACTATTGAGCCCATGGGTAAGTGGGAGTGAGGAGGATGCCTGAGACAGGGTCCTGGCCCTGAAGAAGCAAATCACTTTGTGGGTAGAATGGGACAGAGGACAGAGCAGGGTGAGAGAGGTTCCAGGCAAATGCTGTGGACTCAAGATGAGAGAAGATCCTATCCAGGGTCATGGAAAGTTTCAGAGAAAATAGGCCCTATTTGAAATAGGCCCTGAAGGATAGTGAGGGAGGGATGAGACACCTTTTTTGTTGTGATCTCTAAGATGTTAGTATATGTAGGTGCGTTTTCTGGGGCGTTTGTTTTTCTAGAGAGGTAGCCTCAGTCTCTTGCCTGATAATTAGCTTTTGGTGTGTTGTTGGAGAAAGGCCTGGATTGGCACTTGCTCATTCAGTATACAGGTTCCTAATCTCACCCATGGTTGTGAGTCCAGATTTCTCTGGAGAAATAAGCCTTCCTCCTTTCAGGGTGAAGGGGACCATCTCACACAGACTTTCTTTCTTTCTTTATTTTTTAATATTTATTTATTTATGTTTTAAGTGGACACACAGTATCTTTATTTTATTTTTATGTGGTGCTGAGGATTGAACCCAGTGCCTCATGCATGCTAGGCGAGCACTTTACCCCTGAGCCTCAGCCCCAGCCCCTCTCACGCAGACTTTCTATTAACCTCTTCTTCTTCTTCTTCTTTTTTTTTTTTTAATTTTATGTTTTTTGGACCTTTATTTTGTTTATTTATATGCAATGCCGAGAATCGAACCTAGTGCCTCACACATGCTAGACAAGCATTCTACCACTGAGCCACAATCCCAGCCCGCTGTTAACCTCTTCTTTCAGCCCCATCCTCTCCCACCCCAATTTTCCTTGGTCACTCTCTGCAGATAGGTGGGCTTCCATTTCCTCCTATGAAGTCAGGTATTTTTGTGCTTTCAGTTCCCCTGGGGTTGTTCAGACTCTGCTGTTGTCTCCTCGTCTTTTCTTGTCCTCCTGGGCTAATTCTGTTTTTAGTTCCCCATGACCGTGGGGTTTGGGGAGGGAGGCCACGTACCCAGGAGCCCTTTACACGTGAAGGTCCACAAGCCAAGGAGGCAGCAAGGGCTCTGATTCACTATTCCCCTCCTGACTTGTCAAAGCAGCACGTTTCCTAGAGATGGATTGCTTATTTGACACCCATGGAATCTGATATTAGGGTTAATTCTGCATAAGCTATTTTCTCAAAACTGCATTTTTCCTAAAGTGAAGGTGAAGTCTTTTGCTCTTGATGATACATTAACTCCCTTTAAGGTATTTTATTTGCTCATTGCTGTTTTTCTTTTTAATTTTTGTTTCCAATTTCTGAAGTTCCTTTAAAAACACTTTCCTATCTGGATACAGTGCTGCATGCCTATAATCCCAGTGTCTGGAGAGGCTGAGGCAGGATGATCACAAGTTCCAGGCCAGCTGGGGCAACTTAGAGCTTGTATCAAAATAAAACATAAAATGAGCTGGAGATATAGCTCAGTGGTAGTGCTCCTGGGTTCTATCCCCAGTAGCTCAAGCAAACACATACACACACCTTTCTGTGAGTTTTCTGTTTCTTCCTTCTGGGTCTTCATCTCTGGTCAGTTATATTTTACTTGTTGATTGAATTGTGCTTTCTTTTTAGGATTTTACAGTTTTTGGAGGCAGTCTATCAGGAGCACATGCCCAAAAGATCTGCAAAGTAAGTTTTTAATATTGAAAATAAATCCAGTACTTACATCAGTTTATAGTGCATATTGAGTATTTGGAGTGTATTAGACATTGAGCTGGGTACTTGGCCTGGGGCAGAATTGTCAAGAGGTGGCATTGAGCTGAAAGATTTCTTTTCTTTTTCTTTTTTTTTTTGGTATTGGGATAAAAAAATATTTTTTTTTAGTTGTAGATAGATAAATAGATAAAATACCTTTATTTTATTTATTTATTTTTATGTGGTATGAGGATCTAAACCAGTACCTCACATGGGCTAGGCAAGTACTCTACCACTGAGCTACAACCCTAGCCCCCATTCCCAGCCCTTTTGAGTTTTTAATTTTGAGACACAGTCTTGCTAAATTACTGAGGCTTGCCTTGAACTTGTGATCCTGAGTCATTGAGATTATAGTCCTGCACCACTGTGTGCAACCTGAAGGGATTCTTCATATTATTTTGTGACATGTATCTCTTTGATGGTCTGGTAAAGCCTGGATGCTCATTTTTTAAAATTTAAAATATGTAAGATTACAAAGTATTAAAAAGTATTTGGGGCTGGGGTTGTGGCTCAGCAGTAGAGTGTTCACATGGCACATGCACAGCCCTGGGTTGATCCTCAGCACCACATAAAAATAAATTTAGAAAAAAGGTCTTATGTCCATCTACAACTAAAAAATAAATATGCAAAGAAAATGTATTTAAAATATAAATGTATTAAAATATAAAATATATAATATAAACTATATAAAATATAAATGTATTAAAACCATATTTGTGATGCATCAAATAGGAAGATTTAGCAGTCGATCAAATAATTGGTATATTTTCATGGTAGGCTTGAATGAAAATGACATTTTAGTTTATCTATAACAACTTGAACATAAAATATCTGACTTCCATTAATGACAAAGTGACATGTTTCTAAAACTATTGTGATTTGTTGCCTGTATTCATAATTGAAGAAAATACTGAAGATTATTTTTTTTTCTATCTAATTTCATAGACCACTGAGATATGTTCACCCCTTGGCGTTCTGAGGGCCCTTAGTAAAGCGCCTCAGGTCTAGGTGGGAGTCCAGGTGCTAAGAGGTGGAGAACAGGGCAAGAGCTGGGCCTGGTGGCTCTTGCCTGTAATAGAAGCTACTCAGTAGTCTGCAGGAGGATTGCAGGTTTGAGGCCAGCCTCAGCAATTTGGCAAGATCCTGTCTCAAAAAGGCCTGGGATGTAGCTCTCTGTCAGTTGTCCCAAATTCAATCCCTTGTACCAAAAAAAAAAAAAAAAGGCATAATGAGGACATGGTGCTGGAGGCCTCAGTCTGATTTCTAGCACTGGAGGGTGCAAAGAAAAACCTGTTAGAATTTAGATGCTTCAAGGAGGAATAAAAGTGTGGCCCATAATTGGAGAATTTTGGTATTAAAAGTTGAACTAACTATAACTGGGCAGAGCTTCCTTCTTTAATGGATCACTTGAGTTCTAGACATTGTCCTGTCCTACCTGAGTCCTGAGAACTTGGGGCAATCACTTAAATTTTAAACCTTCCTAATTTTCCTGTTTCTAGTGCCCGTGTTATAATGGATAAATAAGATAATGGAACTGAATGAGCTTTGTGAACCTGTCAAGGGATGTAGGGATGTTGTTCGTTATGCTGTCAGAGCTACTGACCCATGAGGAAAATCTGTCACGTTAGAAGTAAAAGCAGGCTTGATCTGGCCCCAGGTTAATAGATGGATCAACATCTGCTTTCATGAAAATGCCACTTGGCCATTCTGTCCATCAGTTCTTTCATGGTGTTTCTGGGAATAAAACTGCTGAAAATTTACAGCTTAAGCCTCTTGTTCTAGAAGTAGCTGCCATGAGCTATCTTACCCCTTGATAATTGGGAGTGCTTTGGCTCTTGGGTATTTGTGGACTTTTATCAGCCTTTTAAATATCTGGTCCTTTGTCTTTCATTGAAGGTACCCATTTGTCATGAGGAATGAAACCAGAGTTAATGCCTCCTGTCTGGAAAAGTACACTTAGAACATTTTCAGAAAACACTGCATGCTGATTTTGATAATAAGAGCAGTTGTCTCACAAGCTGTCTCTCTGCTGTCTTAGATCATGGACCAGGCCATAACAGTGGGGGCTCCAGTGATTGGGCTGAATGATTCTGGGGGAGCACGGATCCAAGAGGGAGTGGAGTCCTTGGCTGGATACGCAGACATCTTCCTGGTGAGAAAATACAGGATGTAGTTGTATAAGCCAAGTCCTGGTCAGAGCTTCCCTATCTCTTCCCATTGTTCTCTGCCCCATTGTGTCTGTTCTGTGGCTCCTTCCTGTGTCACTGGGGATGGGAAGAAGGAAAAGCAAGAGGGGATAGGAGCGTTTCCTTTTTCTTGATAGAGGGCTACTCAAAGGGGAAAACAATTAGTTAAATGTCATTCGTAGAAGAAAAAGCACTTGAGCTAGGTGTGGTCTTTAATCTGGTGCAGTTTCTTTAGTTTTAATTCGTTTTCCGTGACCTAGATATTTTTAAAAACTGGCTTCATTAAGATTATCATTTAAAAGCCAAAATATCTACCCAGTAGAATCATAGAATTCAATGTTTTTTAAAAAAAAAGTTCTAGGGTTGTACAGCCATTCATAATCTGGCTTTAGAATCTTTCCCTCACTTCAGAATTATCTTCCTGCCTGTTTACATCTGTCCTCCACCTGGGCCTTCAGAACTATTGTTCATCTTTCTGTCTCTCCAGTCTCCTCATCTGATTCCTTTCACTTAGTATCATGTTCTAAGAGGTTTATTCATATTGTAACGTGCAGGAGTTCATTGCTTTTTATTGCTGAGTTGAATTCTTCTATTGTATGTTTTCCACATTGTTTATACCACAGCTGATGGACATGGGTTTTTGTACTCCTTGGCTTTCATGAACTGTGAACATTTGTGTATAACTCTGGATTGTTTTCAGACCATTTCATTGAGGGACGTACCTACAAGTGGGATTGTTGGGTTTTATTAGTTTATATGGAATTCTTAAAGAAATTGCCAAATTGTTTCTCAGAATGAAAATACTATTTTATGTTGTCATGAGCAGTGTATTAAAAGTTGCAGATTCTCCATATCCTTGCCAACACTTGGTAATGTCAAGTGTTGATTTAAGCCAATTAAATGGTGTGCAGTGGTGTCTCAGTATAGTTCTAATAGCATTTCCCTGCTGACTAATCATGTTGAGTATCTTTTTTTTTTTTTTAAAGAGAGAGGAGAGAGAGAGAATTTTTTAATATTTTATTTTTTAGTTTTCGGTGGACACAACATCTTTGTTTGTATGTGGTGCTGAGGACCGAACCTGGGCCACACGCATGCCAGGCAAGTGCGCTACCGCTTGAGCCACATCCCCAGCCCTGTTGAGTATCTTTTTAAAAAGTGTTTTTATTAGTATTGATGGATATTTATTTATTTATATGGTGCTGAGAATTGAACCCAGTGCCTCACACATGCTAAGCAAGTGCTCTACCACTGAGCCACAACCCCAGCCCCATATTGAGTATCTTTTAATGTACCTGTTAGTCATTTGGGAGTCTTCTTTTGCCCATTTTGTAATTGGAATTTTTTTTTTTTTTTTGTACCAGGGCTTAAACCCAGGGGTGCTTAACCACAGAATCACATCCCCAGCTCTTTTTATACTTTAGATACAGGGTCTCACTAAGTTGTTTAGGGCCTTGATAAGTTGCCGAGGCTGGCTTTGAACTCATAATCCTTCTGCTTCAGCCTCCCAAGCTGCTGGGATTACAGGTGTGTGTCTGGCTTGTAATTGGAATTTTGATTTGTTAGAGTTCTTAATGTATTATGAATATAAGTCCTTTATCAGATACAATTTGTGTCTTGCTAAGTTGCCCAGGCTGGCCTCAGACTCTCCATTCTCCTCCTTAGCCTCCCAAGTGCTTTTTAGTTTCTTAAAGATGACTTTTAAAGTGAAAAGTTTTAAATTTTAAAGTTCAACTTATCAATATTTTCTTTTGTGACTTGTAAGAACAAAGTCATGAAGATTTTGCCCAATGTTTTCTTTATTGAGTTTTATAGATTTGGCTCATTTACATAAGGTATATGATGGCTTGTCATTTTTATAGATGATGTGACATAACATTCTAAATTCACTCTCAGGTACCACTGTTTATAATTATTTTTCCCTCATTTGATTTTGTCTGACACTGGTCAAAAAATCAGTTTATCATAAATGTAAAGATTTCTTTCTGAATTCTTGACTCTTTCATCTGAATGCTCCTCCTTACTTGAGAGAAACAATGTCTTGATAACTATTGCTTGATAGAAGTTTTGAAGTTGGGTAAAATCTTCTAACTATGTTGTTCATAAAAATTGTTCTGGGGCTGGGGTTGTGGCTCAATAGTAGAGTGCTTGCCTAGCATGTGCAAGGCACTGGGTTTGATCCTCAGCACCATATAAAAATAAATAAATAAAATAAAGGTATTGTGTCCAACTACAACTAAAAAGATATTTTAAAAAAATTGTTCTGGCTGTTCTAGAGTCCCCTCCATTTCCATGTGAATTTTTGGATCAGTTTTTAACTCTACAAAAATTCCTGATGAGATTTGGTAGGAATTGCATTGAGTCTAGATCAATTTGGTGAGAATTTGCATCTTTATATATTGACTGGTCCACTCCATGTAGACAGAATGTTTTTCCATTTTAGTAAGTGGTCTTTAATTTTTCTCAGCAATATTTTGTAATGTGTAACATTCATGTCTTGCAATTCTTTTTGTTTGTTAGGTGTTTTACTCTCTCTTTTTTTTTTCCCCTTACAATGCTGGGATTGAACCCAGGGCCTTACTCATGCTCCACACCATTGAGTTATATCCCCAGCCCTTCTTTTCAGTATTTTATTTATAGACAAGGTCTTGCCAAGTTGCTCCAGCTGGCCTGGAGTTATTTCATTTTGGATTAATTTTTGCAACTATATAGAATTAAAATTGATTTTTATATATTGATCTTATATCCTACAGCCTGGATAAACATGTTTATTAGCTTTTTCATTTTTGGTGCTGAGGATCAAACCCAGGGCCTTGTGCATGCTAAGCATGCACTCTACTAGTGGGCTAAGCCCCTATCACCTTAGCTCTAATATGTTTCTAGTAGGAGTTGTATGTGCATATTCCTTAGGCTTTCCTATATACATGATTATGTCTTCTGCAAATAGAGATAGTCTTAATTTTTTTCTAATCTGGCCTTCTTTTATTTCTTGCTCATTGTTCTGTCTGAAACCTGCTGTATACTGTTGAGTTGTGAGAGCAGACATTCTTGTTCCCAATCTATGGGGGAAGCATTCATTTTCTCACCTTTAAGTATGATGCCACCTTTAAGTGGCACATGCCTGTAATCCCAGTGGCTCAGGTGGCTGAGGCAGGAGGATGACGAGTTCAAAAGCCAGCCTCAGCAATGGCAAAGTGCTAAGCAAGTCAGACCCTGTCTCTAAATAAAATACAAAAAAGGGCTGGGGATGTGGCTCAGTGGTTGAATGCCCCTGAGTTCAATCCCTGGTACCCCCCCCAAAATATATAAATGATATTAACTATTGGTTTTGTTTTTTGTTATATATATATGTCCTTCCTTAGGTTGAGGAAGTTCCTTTCTACTTTGAATTTGTTGGGTGTTTTTATCATAAAGGGGTGTTTGATTTTGTGAGATGCTTTTTCTGCATCTGCAAGATAATTATGTAGCTTTTGTCCTTTCTTCAAATAATACCGTTTATTATTATGTTAATTGAGTTTTGAATGTTAAATTAACCTTTTATTCTTGTGATCAATCCTACTTGGTCATGGCGTGTAATCAATTTTGTAAGGCGCTCGATTCTGTTTGCTAGTATGTTGATGAGTCCTTTTGAATTGATATTAATAGAAGATAAACCTGTCTACAGTTATGACATTTTCTTTTGGTTTTGGCATTTGACTAATTCTCACCTCATCAAAAGAGAAGTGCTGCTTCTGTGCATTAGGTTCACTGTGTACTGGTTACCAACTCGTCTGAGTCTGGAAAGACAAAACACTCATACACACAAGTTGCATGAAGTGGATTTATTACTTACAGGTAGGCAGCAGAAGCCTAGGTTTTACTGAGACCCAGTCCCCAAGGAACAGGAAAGCTGCGTGGGTGGGATGGAGCCTTGACCGTATGTGCTCCACTTGCAGGAAACCGACTTCCCTGGGTTTTATACTCTGGCCATGTGATATGCTGGGTTAAAGTGTTTAGAAAAGCCTGTTTCTAGGGACTAGAACAGAGCCTGGATATTCTGTATATTCCTTATCCCAGGATGTTGCATTCCCAGTACCTTCAACAGTTATTCCTGAGCATTACAAGGGAGAAAGTGGGGAGAACTGGCTTGATCTAAGACTATCCTTAAACTGCCCTGCTGCCTCCTCTCCTGTTTGCTTAGAAGAACTTGTAAAGTATTGATGTGAATTTTTTTTTTCTTTATTAAATTTGGTTCTGGGGGCCATATGCATGCTAAGCACATGCTCTACCACTGAGCTATACCACCAACCTCTAATTCTTTAAATGTTTAGTGCAGTTCACCATTGAAGTCATCTGGGTCTTGACTTTTCTTTGTAGGTAGTTGTTGAAGTTATTACTCTTATGTAATAAGAGTATGGGTTTACCAGATTTTCCTCTTTTTCACTCAGTTTTAGTAGTGTTTGTCTTTCTAGGAATTAGTCCATTTCAGCTCAGTGATCTAATGTGTTGCCATACAGTGGTTGATATATTTTCTTGTAATTTTAATTCTATAGTGATGTGTCCTCTCATTTCTAACTTTAGTAACATGTGGTTTTCTTTTCCTTCCTTTATTTTTGTCTATTTAAAGGTTTATCAATTTTGGTGATCTTTTCAATGAACCAACCTTTTTTCTCTATTCTCAATTTTATTTCTGCTCTGATTATTTCCTTCTTCCTGCTTGCTTTGAGTTCAGTTTGTTTTACTCTGTCTAGTTTTTTAAGGTAGAAGGCTAGGTTATTGATTGGCAATTTTTTCCTAATATGTATATTTACAGCTATTTCCTTATTAATCTTCTTTTTGTTCATTACTAGAGTTGGAGTGTTAGGTCTTCAACTATTATTATATGTCTATTTGTTTTTTCAGTTCTGTCAGCTTTTACTTCAGGGCTCTGTTGGGTGCTATATATATTTTGAAAATTTTGCTAACCTTTATTTATGTAATACTGCAAAAA